AGTGTGTGTGTCTCTCTTTCTCTCTCTCTCTCACACACACACACACAGAGGGACAATCAGTGTACCGCGCACACACACACAGAGACAGCCAGTGTGTGTCTCTCTCTCACACACACTCACACACAGGGACAGAGTGAGTGTCCCAGGGGGTGGGGACACAGCTGCAGAAACTGAACCATTGCCTCCCCTCAGCCCAAGCCACCCCATCCCCTTTCTCACAGCGTTTGCAGTTTGTAAACTCTGTGCCTGACCGTCCAACCCCGGGTTTCAGTTCCCTGTCCCTCTCTAGCTCTTGCCCTCCCCACAAAGTTTCTTTTTTCTTGTAATTACTTTTTAACAATTAACAAAAAACACAAAACAATATCTCCAGCAGCCAACCGGTTCCAAAACCATGTCGGGGCGATGCAGTGAAATGGAACAGGGAGTAAAATTCTGTTCCTTAATGAATATTGGAAATCTTTCTCTCTCTCTCGTCACTGTGGTCCTGTTTCATCCTCGTGGACTTCTCCCTGAGAACAAAGCTGCTTACGCACTCTCTCTGCCTCGATCGATTCTCCCAGAAACTGATGCTGCAGAGTATTGTTAATTCTTTTAGAAAAACAGTCCCTCCGAATTTGTTCCTTAACGATTTGGGGGATTGTTGCTCAGAGACCAGATCTTGTTATAACCTTTCACCCTGCTGGCGCCCAGAGAGAGAGATTCTGTGAAACACTGACCTGATCACTGTCCACAGCAGTGAATGGGAAAGAAGCCGGGAGATGGGAACGGACACGGAGAGTCCCCAGGGCTGACTGCCGGCCTCGGTGTAAAACCCCGAACTGAGAGCACAAACTCCGGGACTTGCTAGTAGCGCCGGCCCGAGCAGGGACTGAAGGGAACCGCAGGAAGGAATTGCAGGGTCCGCTTTCTAAGTTGCACAGAAGGCACTGGGAGTAGAGAAAGCTCCGAGCCGCTACTGTGTCATTCAGAGAGAAGGAGGAGGATCCCAGCTAACAGCTTGGGGACATGACTGCTCCCATCCAGACTAATTCATCATCAAAACTGACCACATCCAACATCCTCACACTGCCATATACACTCACACTCACACATATACACACACTCACACACACACATATACACACACTCACACACATATACACACACACACATATATACACACTCACACACACACATATACACACACTCACACACACATATACACACACACACATAAACACACACTCACACATACACACACACACATATACACACACTCACACATATACACACTCACTCACACACATACACACACACACACTCACACATATACACACACTCACACTCACACACATATACACACTCACACACACATACACACACACATATACACACACATACACACACTCTCACACATATACACACACACACACATATACTCACACATTCACGCTCACATATACACACACACTCACATATACAAACACACACTCACATACACACACTTACATACACACGCTCACACTCACACACACTCACAGAAACACACTCACATACACACTCATATACATACACTCACAGAAACACAAAAACACATACACACACATATACACACATATGCACACACACATACATACACACGTATACACAACATCCTCACACATATACAAACACTCTCATACTCACATATAAACATATACGCACACTTACAGACACACATACACACTTCAGCATATACACATACACACTGATACACAGCCAACACCTCGCACTTACAGATACACACACATATGCTCATATACACTCAGCAGTCCCATGCAACACACACACAGAGAACACATTGCAGTCATGTACACACACACCGGAGACAGGGATGTGCACACGGACACACACGGCCAGCCCGTTTGCACACTCGGTGCAGCTTCTCTGGATAAAACTACCAGTAGTTCCCAAGCTTGCGAACCTTCTGAAAATGCCCAGCTCCCGGGCAAACCCGGCGGAACAACTGCCAACAGGAGAAACCCCGGAGGTGAAAGGACGTTGCGGATTACCTTGTTGCAGTAATAATGTTCCAGGCAGGATGCCGATGCCAGGCAGGCTGGGTCAGTAGGCAGAGTACCCACCGCTGCTGGGGCTGTGGGATAAAATCTCACATTCATCTCACTGACTGGATCACCAAGCACATGGAAGCAGATGTTTCTCTTTAATGATTAGTCTCTCTCCCTCTTGCTCGCTCGGTCTCTCTCTCTCTCTCTGCCTCTTATTGTCGGATGGAACAAAAGAAGGAGAATTGGGTAAGACTCAGTACATCCTTGCCTCACATCCGTTTTGTGGTCTGCGATAGTTCAGCCTTCATGCGAGTCGCCGATGCAGAGAGAGACTTTGAACAGTCTTGTCATGAGCAACTCAGCAAAGTCGCGCAGAAAACTCTCAGGCAGCACAGAGGCTAAGCCAGCACATTGTTGCAGCTCAATGCTGAGGTTTGGTTCTCCTCGTTTCCTTTGTCTCTCAGGCTCTATCTCCCCCACACTCCCCTCTTCCTCACCATGCCTGGGAATGTTTAGCTATGTGCGGCTTCTCTCTCCACATTCAAAACCAAGCGACCTCTGCTGATACCACAAGGGACATGGATGAGAGGGGGGGAGGGGGGGTATCGCCTGTTAGACTGCTCCCAAGATGAGAGACGCCGATCCCCTTGCTGACCCCCCCCCCCCCCCCCACCCACTTCACAGCAGCACAAACACACGGGAAAGAGATTGTAACCCAACGGTACGCGGCCGGGCTAAACCCTTCAGCACATCCCTAACGTTCAGCTCCTAGACTGGCATTTCCAAACCTAGTTACAAGACACAACCAGGAACAGAGAGAAAGAGAGAGAAAGAGAGAAAGACTTGAGTGTTCGCTGGTTGAAAGCGCTGGGACATGTCAAAGCATTTCTGTCACTTCATTGGAGAGCTGGGCACTGCTGGTATAAGGAGTGAGTAAACACTAGCCAGACATCCTGAAAACGTGTAGATCCTGTTTTCTCTGAGAAGTGAGTGTGTGTGAAATAATGCTTCTGTTCTTTTGCTGTTCGTCATTAGTAAACAACCGGAGAAAGGGGGTAGATCGAGGAGTGGGTGGGAGGGGAAAGGGATACCGTTAAGGCAGTGGAACAGCATTCTTTTTTTAAAAGTTTCCAATTTCACAGGCAAGACCTAACTTAGAGAAACCCATCCACCCTGCAAGCAACTGACCAGATTCAGAGGACAGGGATAATGGGCTGGCCATGATTAAACAGTGACATTCTCAACAGGGATACAGACCAAGTTACATGAATATACTTCCACTTCCCATCGGGACTGAGACAAGCAAAGATCTCAGCTCCACCGGGATTCACAATGGACACAGTGCCAGGAAAAGCCTGGGTGAAATATTTCGAGAATTTGTTTTGTCTTGTAAGGGATACCATACTGGTAATTTGTGTTGCGGGAAGGGTATTGTAGAGAGGTCTGAATGATAGGTTGATAACAGAAAATGCATGGTTTTATAGTTTTCAGTCTGTAAGGTTTAAAGAGTAAACTGGAACTGAAAGCTATCAATAAGGGAATAATGATGAGGTTGGAGTAAAAGAACATAATAAGGCCTCAAGTACTTGCGCTTTTAGGAAATTATTTGCACAGATTATATCAGGTTAAATTTACAGAACATGAAATGTTCCAATATCAGAGGATAAATTGGTGCATTTGTTTTGCAAGCACAATCGATCAGAGGCTGTTGTGTGTGACCACACATCACTCTCTTCCCTCTGAGCTGGCCAGTTTCAGACTGGCCTGTCTCACATCCCAATACTGTCCTGATCTGTGCTGCTTGGACATTGCAGATGCTTTCTTCATAAACTTCCACACCTGACAGAGGTCCAACAAACCTCTTCATCAACAACATTTGTAATTGTGTCACTGTAAGTTCAGCAGCCAATTGCACAGCAAAAACTCATTAACAGCAAAGAGATAAGAGATCAGCTAATTGTCTTGATGATGTTGTTTGAGGGGTAAATGTTGACCATAGCCCAGGACACTCTCTGGCTCTTCCAGGAATAGTTGAATCTTTTACATTCAACTGGACAGACAGACAGGCTTTTAGATTAATTCCACAATAAAAAGGTAGCATCTCTGATAGTGCCTTGGTGGCAATTCTCAGTTCTTTCCTCGTTTGTTTTTCACTCAGGGGATCTGGGTTTCATTGGCTGGGTCAATATTTATTTACCCATCTCTACCTGGCCTTGTAAAGATATCTTCTTGAACCACTGCAGTCCATGTGCTGTGGGTTGATCCACGATGCCCTTATGGAGGGAATTCCACGATTTCGACCCAGCAAAGGTGGAGGAACGGCGATATACTTCCAGGTCAGGATGGTGAGTGCCTCGAAGGGGAACTTGCAGGGGGTGGTGTTCCCATGTATCTGCTGCCCTTGTCCTTCTAGAATGAAGAGGTCGTGGGTTTGGAAGGTGCTGCCTGAGGATCTTTGGTGAGTTTCTGCAGTGCATCTTGTAGATAGTACACACTGCTGCTACTGAGCATCGGTGGTGAAGGGAGTGGATGTTTGTGGATGTGGTGCCAATCAGGCGGCTGCTTTGTCCTGGATGGTGTCAAGCTTCTTGAGTGTTGTTGGGGCTGCACTCATCCAGGCAAGTGGGGAGTATTCCATCACTCTCCTGACTTGTGCCTTGTGCCAATCAACACTAACAACCTGGTAACAGGAGACAAAGGAGCTTGACACCACCCCAGGTGCCTCTTCCTCACAAGGAGTCAGGGCAGTGTGAGGATGCACTCAGCCAGGGCACGTACCCCAGCTGCCCCCTCTCAGCCCTGTAACAGTTCAAGCTGAAGAGGGTGCAGTTACTTCTGGGTACAAATGCTCCTGGGACTAAACGTCCCAGGCCAGCAATGTCTCCACTGTAGGGCAGGCTCCTCCTACCCAAGCTGCACTTTGATGGAGTGGGAAGGAAAGAAGGAAGAAGGAGACATTCTGGGTGTACGGTGGATATTGTCTGTCCTTCCAGCTACAGGACAGTTTACAGCCAAGGTGTGATGTGAACAGCTCCTTCAGCCTCTGGCACCTTGGAAGGTATTTGCTACCTTGGCAACAAGGCTAAATCTTTCCAGGTCACAGATATTGTTTGTCAATCACAGCCATTAGTGGGATTGATTCCAGTTGAATGATGTGGTTGAGATAGCATGGGACTGAGATTTTGAGCTCCACACTGTGAGTCAATATCTGTGGCTCATGTATACCCCATGGTGATGACAGGGCTCTCCTGCACTGTGATGGCGCCTGTTTAATGCTGTGGCCCTTTGAAAGTCTTCACATCACACGAAAGTGTACCCCCTCCCTCATACACTCCAGGGGTGGTGGCAGCCATCTTCCATCTCCATTGGGGCACTTGCAGCTTGGATGAGGATGGAAGGAGAGAGTGAGGGGAGGGGAAAATCACATTTCACAGAGTGAATCACAGTCAGCCTCTCCGTCTTGGAGAACCCCACCCCCCACCGCCGTCAAATCCTCATTTTCCTTTCTTAGTAGCCACACCCCCCATCAACACCCCACTACCACATCATCCCATTTATTTAACTGTTCATCTTCACGCTTTACCCCCATGCCCTATGCTCTCTCTGATTATTGTTCCTTTCAGATAGACTTCCAATGCCCAGGTGTGGCAGCAATCTCCTGCGAAACACAAAGTCAATATGTTGGAATGCCGATTGGTGGGTGCAGACCCTTGGAGCAGCCTGAACAGTTGAGAGGGATCATTAACGAAGACCCAGCCATATTGCATTGAATTGCCAGACACAGACATGCACTGTTCCCCCACCAGGCTGGTGCTCACTATTGATGACTTACCACCCCATTCCACGCCCATGCCCTTTCCACCCCCCCACACACACTCCGTCTTCATCCCATATTCTAT